TGAATGATTTCAGTGGGCTTAGTCTGGAGTCACTTCCTATAGGATTTCACTGCACGAACCTGGGTGTGCAAGATCTATATGCTGCCTGCTTTCAACCCAAAGACTGATTTGTTTAGAGGCTGAGGATCCTGCATCTTCCTGTTCTAGACACAAACACACATAAGGAACAGCTGCGAAGGGCTGGAACTGGCAGCAGCATGCTGGGAGCAGGAAATGATCTGGCACCGGCCACTGGCCAGGCTTTTGGAGGCATTGGTCAGGAGGGAGGGGGAGGAGAGATGCTCGTCCTTCCCTCGGTAGCTCCCAACCCCAACACAGATACCAAGGAAGCTGATGAATTATTAAGCAGGCCCTGTCCTAGGCGTCTGGGTCTGCTTTCTGTGCTGCCAAAGGCTGTTTGCGAACACACACCAGCCATCAGGCTGCACTGGCAAGGGAACAGCTGCTCGGTGAAAACTCCCAACTTTGGAAAACTGAAGCTTTTGGAGGCAGGGAGACATTGGATTCTGGATGCTGGATCTGGAGAAGCTTCAGGGGCCCAGGAGCTGCCTGGGTGTGGCCAGCTGGCAGCTTGTCCTGTCACTTCCTCTTCTGCATCCTTCAGTTCTGTCTCTCCCCATTTTTCTGTCTCTTGGATGCTTCTGGTATTCCTCATCCCTTCCTTGCTTCCTTTGCTGGACCTCTCCATTCCTGCCCCATTTCTCCTGCAAGTTCCTTCTCTCACCTTCCTTCCCCCTGTGCCTCATTCTCTTCCAAGCTGCCCTTTCCCCACCACCACCACAGCCCTCTTGCGATCACCGGCACCCTTCTTTGCTGTTCTCCCCCCTTGCTATCTGTCTTTGATTTCCAGCACTGAAAAGTCCTTGTGGAGTACCTCCACTAGGCAGCTGAGGACTACCTCACGGGGCCCTGGAGGGGCAAGATGCCCATCCAGATATTCTGCACCATCTCCTTCACTCCAAACCAAGAGAGAAACACAGTCAAGGATGCAGCTGAGAGTAATGGTGACAAGTTCCTCTACAGCCGACATGAAGTGGAAGACATGGAGGTGGACTACGAAGATGCAGCAGAACTGGAGGGAAAGGAAGAAGGTGCTCCAGATTTGATAACCTTTGCCAACAGCTGCACCTTGCATGGGGCCAGCCACATCTTCGTGGAGAGTGGCTTTGGGGTGCGCCAGGCGCTCTGGACTGGTGCGTTCCTGTTCTCGCTGTCCATTTTCCTGTACCAGGTGATTGGGCGAATATTCTACTATCTGGAGTACCATCACATAACGCAGCTGGATGAACAGGAGAGCTCCCAGATGACTTTCCCTGCCGTCACTTTCTGCAACTTCAACCGCATTCGTGTTTCTCAGCTCACCTATAGTGACTTGTTATATATTTCCCCACTTGTGGGCTATGACGATCTCCCTTTGGAAGCAGGATTCCCTCTGGTCCCACCTGCCTTTGAGATACCCGATGAACCTCTGAATTTGTATAACTTTTTTGATCGAAACAGCCATCAGCTTGAGGACATGATGCTGACCTGCAAATACCGTGGTGAGCCCTGCAGGCCTGACGACTTCTCCGTGGTGAGTGGTTCCTGTGTCGGTCCTCATGCCAGCTTTTTGGAGCTCCCTGGGAAGGACTGTGGCTCAGTGGCAAAACACATATGCTTTGCGTGCAGCAAGTCTTAGGTTTGGTCTCTGGGCATAAGAGATCTCAGGTAGCAGGAGCCGGGGGGGAAGATATTTCTCTGCCCGAGACCCTGGAAAGCTGCTGGTGATGCTCAGTATAGACAATACTCAGGTGGATGAATCAATGAGCTGCCTTGGTAAAAATCAGC